TTTATTAGCAATCTGAGTATAAACTCTGCCTAATTATAGCCTAGCATATGAACTTTATGTCAATCTTCTTTATAAGCGTCAAATGCTAGCTCGGGATTTAGAGCTTTTGTAGGGTTTGATGAGTCAATATTATATTATATATTTTACCATATTTTTAGTATAATTTGGTAATTATTTTGGTAGAATTTTGATACTTTGATTTATATTTTCAATAGAGGATATTCGACTTCCTTTGGAGCAAAATATGATCAAACGGATGAATTTTGGAGCAATTCAAATTGGAGGACGTTCGCGTGTCTCTTGGCTTGTTCGTAACAAAATTTGGGATTTTCCTACCAAGCGGTTATTTTCTAGCGATTAAATGAAGGAGCAGTGCGCGTTGCTGAAAGTGACATTTCTGGCCTTAAACTGCGTTTTTGGAGTCCAAGATGACCTCAAATGGGTTCATGTAGGGGTGGGCACTTAGAACCAAAAACCGAAACCGAAACACGAACCAAATCGAACCGCACCGAATGGTTTGGTTTTGCGGTTTTGAAACGGTTTCGGTTTTGAAACCGAACCGCAACATAGAAAACGGTTTGGTTTTGGTTTTGGCTTTTGAAAACCGCACCGAAACCGAACCGCACCGCAAATATTAATAAACATTTAATTAAATGTCTATATTAGATTTCATGTTTTAATTGGTTGTTTGTTAGAATCCATACACTTAGTATGAGACTCAACCACACTAGAATATCATCATTCATCATTTTCTTTCGTTCATTAACTTGAAGGACATTTGTTATTTTATACCATCACACACACATATATGTACAAGGGTGGACTAATCTTGTTATCAAGAGTCGAACAATGATCTAATGAAGTCCACTCATTTGAAGCATGATATCACATATTCTAGTATCAAAGTTTCGCTCATGTTTAATGAATTCAAATTTATTCAACTTGTTTTATGATAAACATTGTAAGGGACACCCTTTTGTTGCACAAACATGTTTTAACATCACAACTGCATGAAACATGCTAATTGTTTACATAACAAATGTATTTTTCCTATTGCTATTGGGAAATGCTTATTAATATGTTAAATTGCAAATTGTACATTTTTTCTTAAAAACCAAACCAAAACCGTTTGAAACCGCACCGAACCGAATCAAACGGTTTGGTTTCATTTCGGTTTTGGCTTCAAAACTGCACCGAACCGTACCGCAAAAAAATTCAGTTTCGGTTTCGGTTTCACTCAAAACCGCACCGAACCAAACCGTGCCCACCCCTTCATGGCCTTCTGGAAAAGTGTTCAAAATAGTCTAAGCTCTAAATCCAGCTATTTTGGGCCAGTTTTGGAGCTGATATGGGGCCAGAACGTAGCTGTGCAGATTTCTAGGCGAATTTACCAAGTTAATTTAGGATTTTGTTTCCCATTTTATTTCAATTTATTTAGTTTCCTAGTCTTATGCTAAGACCTTTGACTAGGAGGATTTTATTTAGAACAGTATAAATAAGCCTTTTGGCAGAGCTAGGGTTTCTCTTGGACGGATGCAACTTTTTGGGAGAAGACTTTGGGAAAAACTTAGAGAATTCAAGACTTATAATTTCAGGTGTTTCCATTCTTTTTCTAGTTTAATATAATTATGTTGATGTTAATTATGAATATGCGTAGCTAATTTCCTTTTGCTAGGGTGAGGCCATGATCCTTAGCAAATATGTAGTCTCTTTTTAATTTTCTTATGAATTTATGCATGCAAGTTTTGGATTGTTAATCACTGTGCTTTAAACTATCTATTTGTTTTATTGATTGGCGACCATTAGGATAATTAGAAAAGTAATTTGATGCAATTTTGGCGGATGACTGTTCCTAAAATTGACTACGGCTTCTTGTGATTAACATGTGTAACTATTTAGGATGGACGACAAGTCTTAGGAGTTATATGGTTTTTCAAAAGGCTTTCACAAAACTTAATGAGTCTTGCATGTTCATATTCGATCTGGATGCCACAGACAGGTTGCATGATTAGATATACGTTCTATGTTGGGGGTTCCAAGTAGGGTATACTTTAGGAAAACCTAACCTTCAAAATATGCATGTGTAATTCATAAGGAATTAGAAGAACTACGTAGGATTGTTAAGGTGACGGCGGAACCCTAGTATTTTCTCATTTTGAAATCTAAAAAATAATTGTTTCTTTTTTCTTTCTCTAAAAATTGCAGATTTTAATTAGCCTTTTTAATTAATGTCGTTTCTCTTAATTTAGGTTATTAAATCACCATTTTCCCATCTTTGGTTTTAAATAATTAACTAGGATTAGGGTTTCTCATAAATTGTTTTAAATAATCCTTGCGGAAACGACCTTACTTGAGCCATTTATACTACAACACCCTTGTTCTCTTGCAAGTATTTTGTGTGATTTTATCCCTACTTTTGTAGGTGGTAAAATCCCTAACAGGGTTGACATGTCCATATCCATAAGCAAATTCACTGTGTATCTAAAGGTATGATTTCCATCAAACCAAACAAGGGCAGCAGACACTCGTGATTCGAACTGCAAACTGCTCCCAACAACGGTGACATCAAAGGTCTGCTACTCATTCAGGGACTTGAAGGAAAGAACTTCCGGCTCCACTTTGATATCTACTTTGGTATTTGGTGAGATTTTGGCATTGTATGATGATGATGAAGAATACCAAAATTATCAAGTTGAAGGATTACATGAGATAGAAGCATTAAGAAATAGAATAGTGGCAAATTTGATGAATGCATCTAATTAGACTACTTTCATGTATCTTAACAATATTCTACTAATGAATCCTAGCTATTCCGTGTAAAATATTTCAATTGTAGTAGTTTGTCATACTAATTAATATTTAAGATAAAGTTTATAAATATTTTTCTTTTAAAAATAAAATATATTTAGTAATTCACCTTTATTTGTTAAAAAAATTAAATTAATGGCACATCCAGTATTATACCCTTTTTGATCATTTCATACAGTCACAGTTGTTTTACATATAAGTTTACCAAACACTATACTACTGCTTTTTTTTTTCTTTTTCCAAAAGCACTTTCACAAAAAAGTTTACCAAATACTCTGCTGCTTTATTTCACAGCTGCTTATTCTCACAGCATAGTAGAAGCAGTTTTTTTAAAAGCATAACAATACCAAACCAGTCCTATAACGGGTGATTCTCAGGTACGAGCTGTAAAGCTACAAGGTATTAGAAGAGATTTTGAATATGTGCGTATGAGAAATGATGAATTGTTTTCAGATTACTTGACTAGATTGCTTAATTTGATTAACAAAATAAAAATGTAAGGAGAGGAATTGTCAAACAAGAGAATTGTTGAGAAATTGCTGATTAGCTTAACTCCTAGCTATGATAATATGGTCTCTATGACTGAGGGGACTACGAAATTGGGGACTACGAAATTGGATGAAATCAATCCCACTGAGGTTGTTGCTACCTTGAGAGGGTTTGAGCAAAGATTGCTTCGGCATGCTGAGGAGAATGAAGTGACTGAGAAGGCATTAGTAGCCTACGTATTGGTTCTAGGGATGGATATCAAGGAAGTAGTTTCAAACGGAAGAAACAATGGGAAAATAATCAAAAGAAGGGAGGTTTAGAATCTAATGTGCCATTTGTGAGGCAGGGTGCAAATAAGGAAAATGTCAAGGAGGTGTGCAAATAATGTAATAAACTACACGATGGCATTTGCTGGTTCAAAGATAAACCAAAATGTCATAAGTGTAACAAAGTTGGACACATAGCTAAGAACTACAATAGCAAGGTGAATCAACTTGTTCACTATGCTAAGCATGTGGAGGAAGAAGCATCTATATTCTAAGCTTGTCATGATGCTAAGATTGTAAAGAACAAGCCCAATGTATGGTACATTGACAGTGGATGTAGCAATCACAAGAATCTTTGCTGATCAATATTGACAAGAATGTGATATTCAAAGAGAAAATGGGAAATGGAGAATTGGTTCAGGCTACAGGAAAGAGAACTTTGGTGACTGAAACCAAATATGAACTAGATATATTAAAGAAGTATAGTTGGTATGAAAACTTGTTGAGTATTGGTCAAATGTTTCAACATGGATATTTCTGCTATTTTGTAACAACCCATCTTCAAATTTTACGTTTTAATTACTTAATTTTACAAAATTAACCCTAGTGACGGAAATGTTGACTTTCATTGACTCTCATTCGTTGACATGTAGGAATTTTTCTATTAATTTATTCACGTCGCATTCGTCGATACAAACATGTAGGCGCGAGCGAATTTGAATTTGGAGTTAAAACGAAGCTTCTACGAATTTTTAAACGCAAAGGTATTTTGGTAATTTCACATGTGGAGATTTTTGGGTAAACTGCCAATTTAGTCCCTAAATTATCACCTTAGTGAAAATTAGGTCCCTAAACTATTTTTTTAGAAAAATTAGTCCTTGAATTATAAAAATTTGTCAATTACATCCCTAATGTTATATTTGAAGCTACTATATTCAATTTTCCGTCAATTTAAGTCACGTTACTTGCATGTGATACACATTGGAGGGTAGCTTAGTAGTTTTTCATAAAGAAATAGTGTATGGAGTTAACTTTGGAGGATAAATTGGTAGTTTTTCATAAAGAAATAGTGTAAGTTAACTTTTGAGGGTAAATTAGACATTAAATTCGCAACCTATATGAAATGTTAAGGGCTTATAGACGAGAAAATGATGGTATTACACTCTAAAGTGTGTCAAGTGACTTAAGTTAACGAAAAATTGGATAAAATAGGTTTGAATATAATAGTAGGGATGAAATTAGCAATTTCTAATGAATTTAGGGACTTATTTTACAAAAAAATTATTTCAATGATCTAATTTTCACTGATGTGATAGTTCAGCAACTAAATCGGCACTTCACCCCGAGATTTTTATCCCACCCTTGGACCACTCTTGGGCTGCCATGTGGCAGAATTCTCCCCTATTTTCTGGAGGGTTCCTTTCCTATGTGCCCGTGACTCCTCCTCGTTCCTCTATCAATTCTCCCCTTTGCTGCAACACACACACGCATATCACATTTTGTTTCCCCTTGCCCGACAACCCTTCTTATCACTCTCTCCCCCTCATATTTTCTCTGCCGTGCCATTTCCCTTCGCCTTAGCTCTCGTACTCGTATATCTCTCTGCACTGCCAACACCATCACACAAACACCATTCATCGCAATCCTCATTTCTCCCTCCCCGTGCAGCCTTTAACCCCCATCACAACTACCTTATCTCTCCATCAGAAACATCATCAAATAACCTTCATTCTATGTCCTCAACTAAGCAAGGAGAACTCCTATACTCCTCCACATAGCTCGGCACAGTCACTGTGCATACGTTTTTCGACTACTTATCGCCGTATCCGGTGAGGGTAAGCTTCGAGACTCCTTCGATCTTCCTTCCCGGTAGTCTATATTACTTGGTTAGTGACTAAAAATGGCTTTGGTGAAGGTTTTAGCACAAAAAAATACCTCGGGAAGCTTTTCCTAGAAAATCTGGAAATTCAAACCGTGGCTGTTTAGCCTTCTTCTAGCCACTTTTCCGGCCAACTCCGTGTTTCTTCAATCCTTCCAAGGGTATGAATCTCTTCTCCACATTCCTAACTACATTTTGGATTTTGAATCACTCGATTTGGGCTTGTATTGAGCTCGGAATGAGCTCTCGAAGTTGGACGAAAAATCTGGAAAATTTCAGAAAATTCGAAGGTGACGAGTACGACTGTACTCGTAGCGTGTGGGTGCGCATGAGGGATAGCTTGGCCGGCAAGTAGAGTGCACGCGCCACCGTCAGAGGCACTGTACGTTCCCGCCGTCCACGACAGTGCCGGTGACTTTTCTGGCAACCCATCTCGACGTGTGGCGGTGCGTGGGGTGGCACATGGCGACTCAAGCCGTTGTCACGTGGCCGCGCATGGGGGAACCTGAAGTCCCTCTTTAGATTTTTCGATGTGCCGAATCTAAATTCGTTGTTCGTTTTTCCAAATTCAACCGTTTCAGTAGAGTTTTATTAAATGATATCTATTTGTGTATAGGTGCGTCGGTTGGAAAGTGATCCAATCCTCCAAAATTCAAATAGCTCACCGATAACGGAGTATTTATGAGTGGACCCCTTATCAAATTGCATGTTTTTATAATCATTAGGCTTGCATTCATGGAAAGCATATTTCTATAATTCTGAGTTTTATGAATTATTAATGTTTTATAATGAGTTATTTAATTTCTAAGTTTATGCTTTTAATTGATGTATATTGCTCTTACGAATTATTTATGAAATTTTATGATTTTGGAGAACTTATGAATTATCTTAGTGGCTTTTATGAAGCATTTATGATTCATTGTTTTAAAGTTTATGAGAATTCGTATTTATAGATTTATGAGATTTTGGATATTAAGGTTGGTATGAGATTTTGAGATATGTTTTCTATACTTACCTAGTGGGTTATCATACAGCATATACACACAATATGAGTATGTATACGTCTATGGCCATAGGACACAATTGAGGATATTTATGACATACTCCCAATTTCACTGGCGAAGCCAGTGTCGGATAGCTTCACTAGCCACATCTAGTGTCGGTGTGCTATGTTTGTAGTTATATTTTCTTCTTTGGCGTAACCCGAAGTCGTACAGCTTCACCTCCGGGAGATGGTTATGCCTTCAAGCGACTATGATATTCCTAGTTGAGTATATCATAGAGTTGATTTACGAGATTCTCAAATTTACCTTCGGGGGTTACGATACGCTTTTCAGAGATGATTTTACCGTTACGAACATTTTTAGCATGTTAGAGTATTCGGAAAAACTATTATGTAGTATTATATGAGTTTTCAAAACAGGGGGTTAGTACGTTTAGAAAAAAGAAAACAGTTTTCGTATTATTACTATTATTATAAATTATGGTCCACTCACCTTTTTGTTTTGGCGCCCCCTTCAGGACCTAGTGACGAGAAGTACAACCTAAGCATCGAGACATTCCCCTACTAGTGATCTCGCGTCCTTCTACTTGTGTATGGCTTCCTTATGATTGATGGTAACTCATTGTCTTTCATTTCGTTAGCACGTTCGTTTTGAAATATGCTCTGAACATATTCGTGCATCTTTTATTTCGGTTATTGAAACCATCGGACATTGCTTTCATTCGTCTTTATTTGGAAATGTTATTATTGCCTTTCTTGCGTTGGTATTTTTCCCTATGATTGTTATTTGCTATATGATTCTCGAATTTCATGTTTCCTTTTTATACTTGCACTTTCACATATTTATGACTTTCGTCACTCTCGAGTGTTGGCCAACACGTGCTATCTAGCTATCACTTGGATTATCTGGGTTGGGACATGTCATATTTGGAGATAACATGATTGGTATTTATGAAGACAGAAAGCTAGTGTACTTAGTGGCAACTCTTCAAATCAGTGGCAGTAGGTGCTTTCCCTTAGTAATGGAGAATGTTACTCATGCTGCAAGAAAAGTCATAATTTATCATGAAGTTCAAAGTTTTTAGTTTGAATGTTTGAAGGTTGTATTTGAATGTATTGAACGGTTGAGATTAGAACATCTAAACAGTATAGAGTGAGCCCCGTGTATTAGTTAGTAGTGTTCCAAGTTGACCCGTGCGGTGCACATGACCTCTCTTACACAAGGGGAACCGTGTGAAATCTTAACAGCTTTCTTTTGTCCTTTGCTAGCATCACACTATATGTGTGATTGTTTTGCTGTAGTGCAACCGGATCTAAGAAAGACGAATGAAATCGTGGAGCTACGTACTCCCATTGCTGCTGAGTTCATCTTTCTTCTTGCTACTTTATAACTTTTCCAGAAATCCTACACAAAACTATACACATTTACAGAAAACAACAATGAGGACAGCGAAATTCATTCCAACTTCAGCGACCAGTTTGAAAAATATATTCAGACCTGCATATGCAATGTGAGTCACCATCATCATCATCATCAATGGCTTCAAACCCCTCTACTGCACTTCTAAAACATATCATCCTTTTCCAAATGCATGCAATCTGCATTTTTGGAGAGAGAGAGAGTGTGTGTGTGTGTGTGTGTCTTTTTCCAACTTCAGCAACCAGTTTGAAAAATATATTCAGACCTGCATATGCAATGTGAGTCACCATCATCATCATCATCAATGGCTTCAAACCCCTCTACTGCACTTCTAAAACATATCATCCTTTTCCAAATGCATGCAATCTGCATTTTTGGAGAGAGAGAGAGTGTGTGTGTGTGTGTGTGTCTTTTTTCCAACTTCAGCAACCAGTTTGAAAAATATATTCAGACCTGCATATGCAATGTGAGTCACCATCATCATCATCATCAATGGCTTCAAACCCCTCTACTGCACTTCTAAAACATATCATCCTTTTCCAAATGCATGCAATCTGCATTTTTGGAGAGAGAGAGTGTGTGTGTCTTTTTGGGAGAGCTCCGTATTATAATTAGGATGTGAAATTGTAATGTAGCTCTTGTTTAGGTGTTGAGCAATTCACCTAGTGGTGTTGTTTGTCGACCCACTAGTTCGCTTGGGACAAAAACCATGCACGTAATCTTCATCATAACTCCGTTTCATTTGTCAATATTTCTACCCCTTCTATTAAGGGCTATTTCCCAAAAAAAATAAGGAAAAGAAAAATTCAATTTGGGGCCTAAATAAAATTGGGCCACTTATTAACCCAAACTATGAGAAAACTAAGATTGGTTAATAAATGGAAAATTTTGTTCGGATCCATTAAGTCGCTTTTAATACCCAATCTTAATATTTTCATCACTGAATGTAGAATTATCAGAGAGCCAGGCCGGTGTCCCACTTCCAACAATACTGGTATTGTCCCCAACTTGGTAATTATCACCTGCACAATCCGTCAGGTATGAGGTTTCATCACAAAAGGTTTCGGTGTTAATTGGAGTGGGATTAGAATATTTAAACTCTTCTTTTCTCATTGATACGGTCAATGTGGGACATTTCAACATTGAATTCTCTATTTTACCCCTAAAATTGTTAAAAATAATAGTCGATGTAAGCACCAACTACATTGACGCCCATTACTTTCCGGCGGCTTATTCACCAACATTGGCAAGTCTTTTGTTGCCGGCATCCCCTCTCCATCTCCTCCTCTTCCTTTTTAAATAGTTCTTTATGTTTTTTATTTGAAGTTTAGAATTAAGTTAAATGCAAGGGTGTGGGACCGATCAATTCTCAAGGGACATGGAGAGCATACATATCGGGGGTTTCAAAGAGAGATTCTCAACCTCTAACATTTTGTAGTCAAATCCTGAATGATTTGGTCTCAATCTTGGGAGAGATTTTTCAATGTGACCGTCATACAAGATGGTACACCACGTGTCCCTATATAAATTATGAGTTATGTGTGTTAAAAGGTTAATAACTTAAAAATTTAAAAATTTCACCACTTGCATAAAAACACTTGATGTATCATCCGTGTTCCCGTCACAACTAAAAATTTCTCCAATCTTTGATTTATAAATCCTTTATGACCTAGTCTCAATAATGAATCCTTTACAGTCCGGCCCAGGCTCAATGCCACAGGAGTAGCTATCCAGGGTCCAAAACTTAAGGGGGCACCAAAAAAAAAAACCCAAATAACTAGGTATAAAAAATAAAAATAAAGTCCAAAGCCCAAATAAGGGCCGAAGGGCAAGAGCCCAAGAAAGATGAAAAAAGGACCCAGGTTTTGGGCGTTACAAAAAAAAATAAAATTAAATGACATTAGAGGGACCACTCGGTCCAAGTTTTGGGCATCACAACCAAAACAAAAAAAAAAAAACAAAAAAACAAAACAACATTAAAGGGACAACTCGGTCCCCACTAACCTAACTCTCATATCCCCACTCCCCTTTTTGGATATCCCCAACCCCCCCCCCCCACCCACCCTTTTGTTCCCCACTTCCCCCACTTCCCTCCTTGCAGTCCTTGACCCTGACTCCCTTTTGAACTGCAATCTACTGCAGCACAAGAGGTCCCTGTCCCTCCTCCTGAGCGCCAAGCCCATTCACCATTGATTGGCTGCTGCAAGTGCAAGTGCCAAGAGCATTCACTCACCACCAATCCTTTTGAGTTTTGAGGTAAACTAATTTTTAAAATTTGAATTATCAATTCATAATTTAATATAAAATTTTACAAGTGACATAAAATTATATGATAATTGATGTATAGAATTGTTATTGTTGATAAATGGTTGTATATGATTGTATTTTTTATTATCGGGGTTCTCAAGTAATATAATTTGAACATGAGAGCCTAGCCCCCCAACTTCGACTGGGTTCCAGCCCTCATTAAATATATATTTTTTAAAACATATGTTTTCGTATTAAAAAATGACACATTTTGAGCTTTCGCATTGGGCACCCAAAAACTCAGGACCGGCCCTGCCTTTACCTAAACATAGACTTTAGGCTTTATTTAATATAAAAAGAAAAAAATATATATTTATGCTTAATTTAAAATTTAAATGGCTAAAATATTTACTTTAAGGTGGCAGGATGAACAATGTATATGGATATTTATATCTGATATTGCTAAAAAATAATCTAATAATTATTAATACCTGATCTATCACTTGTTTTGGCTAGTTCGATAATTAAAAGTCTCTTTAATTCCTCCCCCTCTCCTTGAATTAACGAATCATGCTGAGTGCAGAATTAGTAGCCTTTGACGCGTTGTTATTTGTTAGGCTCTCAGTGTTGTTGCTGTTGCCTTTATTATTATTATCTGGAGACATTACCACAATGTCAATTGAGCCAGAATCCTGATGGTGAAAGCTTGTTGATGGTACTGAATTACTCATCTTCTCTATTTCTTTGCCCTTGCCCCACAGCACCGCATATAAACCAATCACTATCAATACTGCTCCCAAAACGCTGTTATATATTTCCAATTAATTAAACTCAAAGACAAGCCAGAACATGTATAAGTAATATACATATTTTAGAGTATAATCAATGAGAAATTAGAGAAATATCAATTAACTAAACTGTTATTATTCGGGAAAAATGCAAATGGCTGTTTTAGAATGTGAAAATTAACTTTTACAGTCAAGGGTACGTACATACCTTCCAAGATGTAGCTTCTCATCTAATACCAAAGACCCAACAATGGCAACGAGCACCAACATGAGAGGGTTGAAAACGGATACGAACAAAGGGCCTCTCATGCGTATGCACAAAGCAATAAAAGTCACACTTAGCCCAGTGGCCATAGTTCCCTACAGCATAAAGTCACCAACTTGTATAGCTATCTCAATTATTAATAATTGACTATCAAATTCAAGTATATCTAGATAACGATAACGAAATTGTAAAAACAAGCACTAGGTAGTAGAAGAAGGGTGTGCGGTACCGAGTATGCCGCTGTTAGAAGCCTAATATTCCAACCTAGCTTCCATTGGCTCCACTCCCTCTCCTTGCAGAGGGCAAACCCAACGGCCTGGATTGACCCCATTGCTGACATCAGAGCAGTGCTTGAATAATAGCAAGTGTATGTCGCACTCATTTTAGTCTACGCTTTGCACAAGACAAATTTTTAGCTAAATAAACCCAAAATATAAGTACTAATATCATGTGAAAAGATGAAGAGGAAATTTTATAGGAAGAGAAATGCTAATTTATTTATAAATGAAAATCTTCTTCTTCATTAATTTCTTCTATTTCCACATCAATTATTTATACCTCAACAAAAAGGCCACAGAGATTAAGTTTTTTTGTTTTGTTCACAAGTTATGTTGAAGGACTTTGAAGAAAAAACCTTGATATGATGATAAGCGCTCTTAACTACTTGAGTTGTAAATTTTTTTTATGGACATTAACTTTGGCTTTGTCAATAAAAAGTTAATAGCTTAAAAAAATAAAAAATTTCACCACTTATATAAAAGCAAGTGATGTATCATCCGTGTTTCGATCACAATGAAAAATTTCTCCTTCATTGCTACGAGAGAGTTATGGTTTTATTAAATATGAGATAGATATCCTATATATATATATATATGTATGTATGTATGTATGTATGTATGTATGTATGTATGTATGTATGTATGTATGTATGTATGTATATATTGATTTTCTACTATGTGGGATCATAATTTATGGGACTCCACCACATAGCACTTAGTGTGGCCGAAATGGCCGGCAAGCTCTGAAGTGGGTGGGTCGGAGCGGATCAGGCTCCTCAGATTGGACCCCTCAAACCAGGGTATCAAAACAAGTGATTATGGTATCCCCGGATTGGCAGGCGAGATTTGTCTTGTCGACAGAGACTTGTTCTTCAAGAAATAAGGAAAATATAATTGAATCCAATTAGGAATGTATGTCTAGTATCGAGGAAATCCTATATTAACGCGATTGGTGTGTGGCAAAAGCATATTCAACGGTCTCCTAATAACATTATGTCCACCCCATTACACCCAAGAATAGCTTCCTAGTAACAGGATGAAGACTGGAGAACATAATTGAAATATAAATTTTATAAAGAGCTCATAGAATGACTTCCTAGTCTTCATTAGTTAAAGTTTACCTAAAAATATAGCCAAAATAAAATGGTGGGTTAGAAACTTTGGTTAGAGAATCACCTGGATAATGAGCCATGTAGCGTAGCAAAAGCAGCTTCCCAAGGCTAGCAGACAACCCAATAGTCGATTACCAGAGTCGGTATGCGGTGATGATGCCAAGTGGCTGTGTAAAAGGTCAACATGCGTGGACCATATGTTGAATTCCACACCCTTATAAAAGGTCAGAAGCATTGCTCCACCTATTCCCATTAATGTTCCTAACATCTTTGCCTTCCCTGCCGGGCTTCTCAAACTCAAGTTCTCCAGCCTAAGAAAAAGGATCATGATTAATGTTAATAATAAAAATGTTAAGTATCATCAATTATCTACATCTTCATGCTTAATTTGCCTTCAATTTCTCATTGATTGTATTTTTGAATTTTCATATTAGTTTTCTTATTTCCATTGCTCATTCTCCTCGATCAATTTAGGTCAAAGTATCTAATGGTTATTTTGGATAACTCCGTTAAAACTTCATCCCTTATTACCCTTTACAACCTTTTAATTTGAATAAAAGTTCAAATGTGTTACTGAAATGAATAATTGCTCCACACTGAGACGAATACAAGAACAATACTCACAACCTTTTAATTTGAAGTCCAAATCTTCAATTAGGCTTAAGTCCAAAGACTATTACTCTATTTTTTTTTTCAAAATAATAATAAAGCTGGAAAATAGGTATATATTTACCTGAAGGTGATGGCCAAGATGAAAGTAATGGCTGGGGTGAGTTGGACTATGGCAGAAGCAAATGTGGCCGATGTTAAGGCTAAGCTTTCAATGTACAAATTTTGTGATAACGATCCACTGCAATATTAATGTTAATTAATTAATAGTCATTTAAATACATGGAAAAAATATTTATAGTCATTAAAGATATGATTTTAGCATATAAGCTTCTTTTTACCTTTTTTTAGAACAACTTACATTGGTATACCGTCACATAGTATTCAATTCCGTTGAAGAAAAGGAATGCTATTATGACTACCTAAATATGTCGCAATTTATACCATCTGATGTGGCAGATGGAAGCGGACAGCCACATCAATTAAAAATTATCCTCGTGGCAGCTGGGGTGGACAAATTTTTATTAATAAAATAATATAAAAATTAATCAAACCATACCCCTCAATCCTCCCTCCTCGGTTCCCCATTCTCCATTGTCACATTCCTTGTCACCCGTTATCGGTCCTCCACCCCCTCCTTCTGCAGCGACGGATCACCTTGGGCATTTGCTATTTTACATGCGTGGAATTAGATTGTTATAAGGGATTCACCATGCCACGTGCACCGCGCTCTGCCCAGCAAGCACGCCTCACTATTTCATCATTTTCTTTGTTTGTTGATTCTGAATAAAAAATAGGCTAAATAGACAAAATGATCCTTGAGATTTGCATAATCAATAGAAATGGTCTCTGAGATTGAAAATCAATAGAAATGGTCCCTGAGATTGTCCACCATTCATCATTTTGGTCATTCCGTTAAAAACTCATTGGGCAATTTTCAAAGTTTCGAAACTCAAATCGATTTTTAACCAAATTCGACCCATAATATATCAAATTGAAGATAGGAAAGTGTAGAACAAGATTATACCTATTTGGAAGACCAATGGTTACCGGAGGTGGCCAGAAAATGGCCTGGAAGGTGATTGGTCCGTGGAAAAACTAGAAAACTCGCCGGAAACTGGGTAAACTTTAAACGTTCATAACTTCTTCAATACTCAACGAAATTGAGTGATTCAAAAAAGAAAATCATACTTCTTGATGATACCTTTCTCAATGGCTAACTCACCGTGGTTTTGCCGGAAAATGGCTCGAAAGTGGCTAACTTGAAGATGGTTAGCCACTTTGGAGCCCTTTTCTGGCCAAACCATGGTGAGTTAGCCATCGAGAAAGGTACCACTATCTTTTTCTCATCGAGAAGTCTGATTTTTGTTTTTGAATGACTCGATTTCGTTGAGTATTGAAGAAGTTATGAAAGTTTAAAGTTAACCCAGTTCCGGCAAGTTTTCCAGTTTTCCCACGGACCAATCACCTTTCAGGCTATTTTCCGGCCATCTCTAGCAACCATTGGGCCTCCAAATAGGTATAATCTTGTTCTACACTTTCCTATCTTTATTTTGATATATTATGGATCAAATTTGGTTAAGAAACGATTGAGTTACGAAGCTTTGAAAATTACCCAAAGACTTTTTAACGGAATGACCAAAATCATGGATAGTGTACAATCTCAGGGACCATTTCTATTGATTTTCAATCTCAGAGACCATTTCTATTGATTATAGAAATCTCAGGGATCATTTTGGCTATTTAGCCTAAAAAATATTTTATTTCTTATCCTTGTTGCTCCTATGAGATCTTGTTTGTCTGTTGCATGTTGCTCCTATGAGATATTGTTTGTTTGTTGCCCTAAACTTTTTGCTCATGATGTTTCAGGAATCCATCACGCCTCACTACTTTTTGTATATATTACTTGTTTAGATATCTGAAGCCTTCATGTTCGTTGACTTTACGACAAGATAATGATCTTGAGAGCTATTATTGATATTAAGTTATATCAATCCCGAGTTGGAAGATGATTTCTATGGACATGGATGACAATCTGGAGGAAAAAAAAAGAAGAAGCAAGATAACGATGGAGAGAGAGGAGAGGGAGGAATATGCAAAGAGGGACTATAAAACCTAATTTAGGTTTTGACTGATTTCTAATTTTTTTAACATTAATTAATGAAAATTTGAGTTTTTTTTTTTTAATTTTCGTGTTTGTCCATATCACACACCACATCAAATGATGTAGAATTGTCTTATATTTGAGAACAAACAATATTATCTACACTAAGGGGGAGATGGTGGGTTTACCCTCATAATGAGCTAGCAATAATGTGGTTCAAATTTACTTTAGCAAGAATCGAACCTAATACCTCTCACATATCAATGAAGAGGAATACTATTAGATCGTAGTACTAAATGACATAATTATTATATATTTAGATGATAAGAATAATATTATTGCTGAAATAAAGACAGTACAAAAAAATTTAGCTCTTGTCTTTATTTTCTTAGCATGAGACTACATGGTTGCGATGTATGTTGTCTTTTTTGTGTTTTTATTTAATTTTTTTTTTTAAATGGGAAAACTGTAGAAGCTGCTTTATGAAGCCTAGAAAGATCAAAGATTTACTGTCGCCAGAGTCACGTAAAAAAGTTGTGGACACTTCTAGTGGACCGCCAACTGTAACCACTAATATCAACAGCATGCACAACCAATATATACCAAGAAATACAAATATATAGCTTTATACTATTACAATTACTTACTCCCCATACAAATTTTTTATTTCCAATTATAACCTAGGAGGAGATCATGATATGGAAGAAAGACAATTGCACACGGATACGTACTTACCCGAACAAGCCAGACAAAAATCCTTGCAAGAGTACCATCCATGTGAGCTTTGGCCTGCTCTTCCTGCGTGCAAAAATAAAGACCAGTTAACTGTTTTCAAAAAGTAGCAGATAGGGTTTGCTTGCTCTCTCTGCTTTTCTCCTTTTTGTTTTGGAGTTTGCACAGGGTTTTTAAGTCAATTATGAACTTATTGAATGTTCTCAAACATTACTGTAAATGCATCAGCAAAGATTATGCAGCTACTTTTCAGAGAAAGAGAGAGCACGAATAGAGAAAGCACCAGCTAGACAATAATATGATTTTTTATTTTTTTGGGTGAGAAACTAAAAGATTAACAAAATAACAACAATTAGCAATTATATGGCACTGAATACTTCTATGGAAAAACAAAATGAAAGTTATATTATGTATAAGAAGAAAGGAGAGGTGCAAAATTGCAAATGATCACCTTTCAATGAAAAGAGCAATAGGAAGAATGAAGGCGGTTGCAAAGATGAAGCGATATGCAACAAGAATCCTTAAGTTCATTCCGTCGTTAGCGGCCAGTTTGTAGAGAACATTAACTCCTGCAAATGCAAACTGAACTACCACCATTAACAACACTGGCTTCAACCCATGCAAAGCATTACATGTCTGATCAGTACCCATCGTCATCGATCACCAATATCACACACACACTGAGAGAGAGAGAGAGAGAGAGAGAGAGAGAGAGAGAGAGAGAGAGAGAGGTTTTGAGTGGTAAAGGAAGAAATTAAGGAGTGAATTGGGTATTGATTGAAATTGAGAGAATTTAGAGCTCTCGGTGCTTCCTTCTTTGGTAGTTCCCCACGTCACCACCTACGTACCACATGGAGCCTAAAAACTAGATACAAAATCGGTTCTGTACTGTTTCTCTTTTTCGTTCTAATTACAGCAACAACTTAAATTCAAATCAGGTTTGATATGTGGCACTGGGCTTGGGATAAATAATACCTACCCCAAAATGTTTAGATTATGTTTGGACGAGGAATTTCTAAATTCAAGGGATCGAGGTCAATTTGATAGGATCGATGGTACTACAGAACAGAGAAAAACACAAAATAAACGAGAAAAATATTTTTTTAGGTCGTACCCAGTGCACAAGGCTCCCGCTTTAAGCAGGGTCTGGGAGAGGTGAATGTCGGCTAGCCTTAAACGAGAAAAATATACACCAAATATTTATGTGGTTTGGCAATTTGTGTCTACGTCCATGGGGTAGCAATTATCTTTCACTATATCAAAATATTGGGTACATGCAAGGACAATCTTATACCAAGCCTTTGGCTTGATGGATACAAGAAAGTATAACGCACTTTTTCTTGCACTATAAATCTCACTCGCACAATTTGTGGTAGAACACTCTCACTCTAAACCTTGGAGTGGAACAACTCTTAGAACTCTCACTTTCTCTCTTTTGAAGTTGTATGCTTGCTTTTGGATTAGAGAAATGCTAAGGAGATTCTCTCAAAAGTGGGACTCTCAATAAACTCTCCGTCACCTCATGTTTTTTACACAATTCCAGCACATTGTGCCAAAAATATGAAGGTGGTGGATAGTCCATGAAGAGTTTCACTTTGCGAAAGTCTCTTTAGCATTTTCTCTTTGGGTTATCATGGTGAATCCAAGAATTAACTCCACCATTAACATTGGAAGTCAAAACATTCATGCACCATCCAATGAATAAAGCTTGGAATTCTATATATTCATGCACTACATAGAGCTCTCATATTTGATTAATGCAACTTGCAATTTCAAAAGGATCCAATGTATTTGGTTAACGAACCGACCATTACATTCCCTTGAATGTAATATTCTCCAATGCATCATTAGTTCTCTAAAGTCTTTTAGAGATTCCAAATAACCATCCTTCATCATGGGTTGGACACATGGTATACCAACAATCTTTCCCTCTAGCCCATGAGGGAGGAACTCCAATCATGACTCCAAAGTTACCTGGAGTTCATCCTAGCTACCTTAATGCAAAATTTCATCTTTGATTTAGTGACTATCAATATGTCTAAGGAATTATTATCAGTATGAATCCTCTTCAACTATATCAATTTATTCTGAATAGCATCTCTAATCCAATGATACTGAATACCAATATGCTTGGTGTGTGAGTGATATGTAGATTTTTTGTTCAAAAATCAAGAGCACCCTGACTCTCATAATAAACAACATAATCACTTTGTTTCAAACCCAACTCTTGGAGAAAACTATTTAACCACAACAACTCATTGCATGCTTCTATAGCGGCCATGTATTCGCCTCAGTTGTGGACAAAGAAACACACTTTTGTAGCTTGGATTGCCAAGACATGACTCCCTTTGCAAAAGTAAACAAGTGCCTAGAAGTAGACTTTCTACCATCAAGGTCACCTCCCTGTCAGCATACGTAAACCTTTCAAAAATTGATTTGGTACCACCAAAGCACAAGCACTTAGAAGTTCCCTTCAAATATAGGAGAATCCACTTAATAGATTCCCAATGGTGTTTCCCCGGACTAGAAAGAAATTTGCTCACTACACCTACTACATGATACTTCCTACCACCAAAGAGTAGAGAACAACTGCCATTTTTTCCTTTTCTCCATTTGTTTTTGGACATGACTTTTTGCTCAGCTTGATATGATTGGCTCCTTTTGTGTTGAACCTGTCAATCACCTGTTCAACATACTTCTCTTGTGACAACTACAACTTCTTGGACTTTTTGTCATGGATAATCTACATGCCCAAATTTGCTTGCCTGGCCCTAAGGCCTTCGTATCAAAGAACTTCAATAACTCTTCTTTGAGCTTCCTAATCACAGAAGCATCTTGACCAACAATCAATATGTTGCCAACATATAGTAATGGAATAATGAACCTACCTTCAGAATATCGTCTGATATAGACATAGGATTAGCACGAGTTCTCTTGTACCCATTACTCACCATGAATGAGTTGAGCTTTTAATTCCACTGTCTTGGAGCCTGCTTAAGACCATATATGCTCTTCTTCAGTTTGCACACCAAATTTTCTTTTTCTTTGACTTCAAAGCCTTTGGGTTGTTCCATATATATCTCTTATTCTAAATCATCGTTGAGAAATGCAGTTTTAACATCTAGTTGCTCGAGGTCAAGATGCATGCTAGCTCACATACTAAGAATAACTCAGATGAAAGTCATATTCACCACCGGCTAAAAAAGCTCATCAAAGTCAACGCCTTTCATCTGACCAAAACCTTTGACTACAAACGGGCCCTTTATTTTGTCATATGTCGTCTCTTTTCAATTTGAACACCCACTTGTTTTTCAGTGCTTTTATGCCCTTTGAAAGCTCCACCAGCTCATAGGTACCATTCTTTAATAAGGATTCCATGTCTAACTCCATTGTCTTTATTAATTTATCATTGTATTATGGGCTCTGGCCTCTTCATAAGTTTTGGGCACTCCATCATCAGTCAATAAGATACTCTGATGAAGGCTACTTGGTCGACAATCTTCGATTTCTGCTGATCTTTTGACTTGGCCTTCATTCTCTTGCGGGGCTGGAGACTTCCCCTGGTTGAGTTCCCCTTGATTTGGCTCATCTTGACCAAGCTCCCCCTGATCAACAATTTTATGGTTTGGTTCATCTTGATCAGGCTCTCCATGATCATCATTTTCATGGTCTGGCTTATCTTGGTCAAGCTCTCCCTGATCAACATTCTCTGGTTCTAAAGGCATCTTAGTAGCAATTGCTTTAGAGACGTCACCATGACTTTATTCATCTAAAGTTAAGGGATCAACTTCCCTTGTTGATTAATGCCACTTGCAATTCCAAAAGGATCCAATGTATTTGGTAAATGAACCAACCACTACATTAATTATTTTATGCAACACGAAGCTAATAAGGATACAAGCATAATTCCTTCGAAGAACAAAGTTTTGGAGTTTACCAGTTTAGAGAGAAATCTCAAAAGTATTTTGATCAATTGTTGAATGTGGATTACAATAGAAGCCAAAAGGCTTAAATACATTTAAACCCAGCCCTGTGGAAGATCAAAGGTCTCCTTGGAATCAAAATGAAACTAAAAGTCCGATTTTATTACATTAAAATGTTGTTTTGGAAATTGAAACTATTGTTTTTGGTCTTAAACGTGACAGGCTCATGGTTTTAACACGAGTCCTGTTTTGCTCACGATTCTTATTAAAACAACATATTATGCACCCAATTATGACACCAAAATATTTTCTTACTGCCTTTTCTATTGCCATATAGATTGAATCCAATATTCCAAAGTTTAACTCATCTTTTTCAGAATTTAAAACCTTTGATTTATATTTTTTCCGTCAAAATTCACCCATATTTTGTCCTAACATTCCCTTGAATGTAGTATTCTCCAATGTATCATTAGTTCTCTGAAGACGTTTAACCATCCTTCATCATGTGATGGACCCATGGTATACTAACACAATCTAGTATGAAATGGATAACAAAATGTTAATGGAAGGGATTAGAAAATTCACATTAGAGCATCACAAATGTGAAAGAGATTTGCAAATTCCTCTTGCATACCTTTATAATAAGAATTTTATAATCCTCTCATCAACATTTTGTGATTCACTTGACTTGAAAATCTTTAATCCAAGCATAACCTTAAAGAAAATATTATTGCAAATTTGTTTTTGGATCGACGTCGGACAATTAAGAAGCCATCAAGGCACAAGAGAGAAACAGCATCAAAGGGTCCATTTTGTCAATCGCACTCACAGTATAACCTCAAACCCGTAAAGTTAATTTTTTTAATGGGATCCGGCTTTGTGAGATTGGTGGGATATTTGATACGATATTATTCTTTTTATTTAAATCTTTTTAATCTCATCCAGACCTTTAAATGGAACTGATGAGAGACGTGGCAGCTACAGTTTAGAAGGTTAATTTCAATATAATTGTCCCGGTGCCCCTTCCTTCCAATAATGTTCCAATGAATTGGTAAATTCACAAACAGGATCCAGTCACATCCAAAACATAAAAAAAAAATTGATTCAGTTCAAACGTCAATAAGTCTAAAATGTTACTTCTTAGTTCTTGACAACCACTTGATCTTCCTCAAACAAGATCTTATCTCCACCATTAACTGGCTCGGTCTCCTTTATCGGAAATGCTCTTTGAGGCCCATTAATTGCATCAGACCTTTCAGATCCTTCTGATATTGTATCCAGCACCCTTGTAGAACGATCTAGGGTTATGTTATATGCTGCAAATTCACCATCCTGCTATTTCAAAAATTAGTATAGTACACCCCAGTTTTCAGTTTGTGGAAGTTCCAAGTTCCAATTGAAATACAAAGTGGATATACGTACATAGGAATTAAGATTATGAATGAATATACAACCGATCCCATTTAGTAACCTAAGACTTGGTTTTTGTTCTTGTATTTTTGTCTGAATTTGAAACACATAAAACTAATACAAAAATGTCATCATTGTCCACGTCAATTTATTCGAGAAATTAGTGAAGATATTAAAAAATTTGAATATAAAATACCTAAATGTGGTTTTTTATTATTATTAAAGGAGAGAGAAGGATTTAAAACTAATACAATAATTTAGGGTAGGAATAAGTTCTGAACCCAAGACACTGGAAACCCAACACCTCATCTACTTGGTTATTGGACCACATGCAAATAGCTAAATATATTGATTATATATTGTTATTTGTTTGAAACAACAAAATTCTTTTTTTTTTTTTTTGAACAAACGATATAATCTCACTAGGGGGATGGGGGAGTGGACTAAACCTCACAATGGGCTAGTAATAATATGATTCAAGT